TTTGTTCTGCCTTCCAGATGACAACGCAGATCTTTTTTAAAAGGGGATAAAAAAGAAATAACTTTACAGAGGAATCTGGCAGGTAAAGGGGAGCAAAGTGGAATACTGAGAAAAGGACTTGGCCTAGGCTGGTGTTGTGGCACAGCAGGTTAAGCCACTGTCTGCATCCCATATTGAGTGCTGGTTTGAGTCTGGCTGCTCTGTTTCCAATCCAGTTCATTGCTAATGTGCTGAGAAAGCAGCAGAAGATGGCTCAAGTATGTGGGCCTTGTAACCCATGTAGGAGACATGGATGGAGTTCCAGAAGACCAGATGTGGGGCTAAGTATAAGAATTTTATGCAGATCCCATTAAGCAAAGTATACTATCCACACTAGTACTCTTGGTTCAAGTAGCCAGTCCATTCTGATGTATCAGTTTAATGGCTATGTTTCCAGGTTGATTTCATCCAAGGTTACTCAGCTGATATACATGTAGCAGGATTTTTGGGAGCAAAGAAGGTTTTCTAGAATCCACAAGTGATTCACTCCCCAGGGTATAACCTCCAATCTGGTTAAATTAGTGCCAAATTATTAAGCTACATTTCAGTGTCACCTCCAAACCATGCCTTGGGGCACTCAGTTCAAATGACCCAAATATATATATAGTTTAAAGGTTTATTTTATTTATTTGAAAGAGTCACAGAGAGAGGCAAAGACACACAGAGACAGAAAGATATCTTCCATCCGCTGGTTCTCTCCCCTAATGACTGCAATGGCCAGAGCTGAGCTGATCCAAAACCAGAAGCCAGGAGCTTCTGGGTTTCCCATGCAGGTGCATGGACCCGAGGACTTGGGCTGTCCTCCATGCTTACTCAGGCCATAGCTGAGGGCTGGATTGGAAGTGGGGCAGCTGGGACTCAAACCGGAGCCCATATGGGATGATGGCAGTGCAGACTGGTGCTTTAACCCACTGTGCCACAGTGTGTGCCCCAGAATACATTTTTCAATCATTTAGTTTATTGAAAAGAGAGAGTGAAACAGAGAGAAATATAGATAGAAAGAAAAATATATAGAAAAATAAAAGGAGAGAGAGAGGGAGAGGGGGAGAGAGAGAGAATGAATCTAATCTTTGGTTCACTTCCCAAATGCCCACAATAGTTGGGTTGGGCCAGGCCAAAGATAGGAGCCAGGAGCCCAGTCTGGGTCACCCTCATGGATAGCAGAGATCCGATTAACTTGAGTCATCATGCTGTGCCTCCAAGTCAGGAACATCAATGGGAGTAGAGCTGGTACTTGAACCCAGACATTCTGATATGGATGCAAGCATCCCATGTAGCATTTTAACTTCTATGTCAAATGGTTACTTTATGATATTTTTTTCCCTCCCTTTTCCCTCCTTCTGGTATTCTCCACTTCATTTGCTTACCTATTTAATTTCTGGCCCATTATTCAAAGACAAATCCAATGTTCTCCCCTCCATGAAGAATTTCCTTACTCCCAAGAGTCTGTGCTATCTTTCTAGTGTGAACATTCATGGTATTTTGTGAATCCTCTTTGGCAATTATTTTTATTCTTGTGATATAGGGTAGTTATCTTATCTCCTTAGAAATGTAAACTTCATGGGATCATGCATGTACATCATTTTGATCATCAAATTTTGAGCATTGGTTGTTTAGAAACTTCTCCCTTGAGATAATGCAGCTCAAGAGTTGAGTCAGCAGAATATGATATCCAGAGTCTGTTACAGAGAATGTGATTGACATGTTAGCAAAATTGCTAAATTTATTATTTGAAACAGTTTTTTAAAGCATGGAAGTAAAGTCAGGACTTTTCAAACATAAAGCATTTATTAATCTCTTACTTGTACAAATTAATAGATTAGTTACAAGCAACAATATACTTTTTATTGATAAAAAATTAAAATACAGAATAATAAGGGGTTTATTTGAGATAATTTCTGAAGAGTGAGATCAAGAACAAAATGATCCTACTTCTGTCCATTTTTCTCTTGTCATATGTTTATGCGGATAATTCTACCATCAAAACTGCATAGAAAATTAAAACATTTGAGGTCCTCACTTTATTATTTAACATCAGTGGCATAATTAGATAACACATAAATGAAGGAAAAATGAAAAGGATTGTTCTTTATCAAGCATCTTTAATGTGACAGATACTTTGTAGACATTGTAGCTTACGCTTTGAAAAATGCTAAATGGTGAGTAATATTCCAATTTGTAGGATGAGGAAACTGAGGTGGGATAAAAACAAATGATTTCAATTTTAAATAAAAAAAACTAATGCATCCTGTTCAAATTTCAAAACATCACAAACTAGAAAAATAGCAGAACCTATATAGAGGCTTCTTTCCATTTTTCTCAAAAGTTAGTGGAAAGTACAACCCTTGGATCAGTTGTTATTCTACCACTCAATGTTGGATGATCTGGGTTTAGGTTTATTCTATTTTAAACAAGGAAAATATCTATTTCTAATGATTCTTGTAAGAACATAATGAGAACTTAATGGTGGTTGTAAGACCTTAATTCCTTTGTTAAAGGGATACAACCAAAAATTGAGAAAAAGGTAGTTCTTTAGCAACAAAATCATTGATTAGAGATTGAGAAACAAGATTCAATGATATTCCCGATCCTAAAGCAACTGCTCTTTTAATTATAATGTATACTTGTTATGCAGTTAGTGGAAAAAGAAAGACCTATTTTCTGATGCTTTACACAGCGTGAGTGATGTACACAGTCGATTCTTTGGAACTATCTCTTACCTCTGCCCATTAACTATAGAGTAGTATTTCTCCATATTATGATGCGAGGATATGGTTTGGGAATTCATGATATGAGTGAGTGATTTTAAACCATGGCTCATGTACAGTGTTGCTATTGGAAAACCTGCTATTTTACCCCTAACACTCTTTGGTGCTTTCCATGCTGAACATGGATGTAGACACATTCATATATATATATACATATATATATACATATACACACATATGTATTTCATATATATATATATACATATATATATATTTCATTCTCTGGTTTACTCTCCATATGGTTGCAATGGCCAGCTCTGGGCCAGGCCAAAGATAGAAGCCAGGAGCTTCTTCTGAGTCTCCCCCAGGGTGCAGGGGCCCAAGCTCTTGGGCTATCTTTTGCTATTTTTTCCAAGCCATTATCAGGGAGCTGCATTGGAAGTAGAGAAGCTGGGAATCAAACTGGCACCCATATGAGATACTGGCCCCATATGTGGCAGCTTTACCTGTTGTACTACCGTGCTGGCCTTGAGCTAGACACACTTTTTTTTTTTTTATTTTTATTTTTTTGACAGGCAGAGTGGACAGTGAGAGAGAGAGACAGAGAGAAAGGTCTTCCTTTTGCCGTTGGTTCACCCTCCAATGGCCGCCGCGGCCGGCGCGCTGCGGCCGGCGCACCGCGCTGATCCGATGGCAGGAGCCAGGAGCCAGGTGCTTTTCCTGGTCTCCCATGGGGTGCAGGGCCCAAGCACCTGGGCCATCCTCCACTGCACTCCCTGGCCACAGCAGAGGGCTGGCCTGGAAGAGGGGCAACCGGGACAGAATCCGGCGCCCCGACCGGGACTAGAACCCGGTGTGCCGGCGCCGCTAGGCGGAGGATTAGCCTAGTGAGCCGCGGCGCCGGCTAGACACACTTTTGATCCCAAGTATTTAAAATTTATCATGTGACAGAATTGTAGCACAAATGAAAAAAAAGTTAGCTTTGCCAAAGTCTCAATCCATTACCTTCTCCTCCTCCTGATACTTGACATTCTTGTGTTTAATTGGAACTGTGTGGCTTCGAGAACTTGGAAAGAGAAATGTCAGTTATTGATATGTCATGTTTAAAGTTCATGAGAATATTTTTTGATAAGAGTCTGGGCATGAAGGTGGCGAGCATGGAGACTCACTTGGGAAAAGCTAGGATCTAAAAACAGTTGAATTCTAGGATATCAGAAAAAAAATTTAGATGGTATCTATGTCTCTGCACACATAACAATTCATCAGGCTGATGATAAGATCTAAAATTTGTCTTGCTGCAGAAATAAGAAACCGGATTATTATGTCTTGTGGTATTTTAATAACGCTATAAAAGATCTGTTGATTTGAAGAAAAAAAAAGATGAGAAGAGAAGAAAAATTGTACATGGGAGCCAGTAAACTAATCTTGCAATAGCTACGATACTTCCAAATTACTTTAGAGAATGCTCCAAACTACATCTTAGAGTTCTAAAGTTAAGAGATGCACGTGAGGGCTAAAAGGGTGTCCATATTTGAAGTTGACACATGTTGTGTGCTCTCCACTTTCTATTACTAGGCAGATGACATCAAAGACCCAGCGATTATTAAATGAAACCAATTATTTGAATAATGGAAAAATTGAGGTCATAAAAGAATAGGGTCCTTTTAGTAAGCTCACAAGCAGTTAGCAGCACATCATCTCTGCCATTCTTGGAATGTATACGGTTCCTAATTTTGGTGTGGATGACAGCGGATTTATAGAGATTATACGATAAAGCAATCTGTGTTTATATTCTTCAGATCCTGGCCCTTAAAAAGTTTTTGCTAAATATGTGAATTGATTGGATACCAGACTGATTTAAATCATCCACCACACTGGCCACATTCATTCCTATTTTATGTATATTTTCTGTATTTAGACTTGATATACTTCAAGATCCTGAGGAAAATGTTTTAGGCACAATGACCTTGTCTTTCCCCTATCAAGCTATGCCTCAATTTCTAATCAATATATAAATCAATTTTATATATCTTAAATTAAAAAAATCAAATGCATCTTCTTTAGCTTATTTTTCAAAACTGTTAATGTACATTTATTTCAGACTGTAAAGTTCAGTGTTATAGAAAACCCTTCAGAATTAAAGATTCACTCAGGAAAGAGAGTTCCTTGGATAGAGTTATTTGACCAGGCATTTGCGTTTCTATCTACTGTCATTATCCTTCTGACACTGTGGTAAACACATATTTTCATATTTTATCGTTGAGACTTTTTCCCAATTAGTTTTTTGAAAGAAGCTTTCACATCTTTGTTCCGCAAACTGTAGATCAAGGGATTCAACATGGGGATGATAATAGTGTAGAACACAGAGGCCCACTTGTCTTGGTCCAGAGAGTAGCTGGAGGTTGGCCTCAGGTACATAAACATGACAGTGCCATAGAAGAGAACGACGCCAGTAAGGTGAGACCCACAGGTAGAGAAAGCCTTAAGGCGGCCTTCAGCTGAGCGCATTCTGATGATTGTGATGAGGATAAAGGCGTAGGAGATGAAGATGATGAGGATGGTGCTGAATTCAATGAAACCACACAGACTAAAGAGCAAGATCTCGCTGATGTAGGTGTCTGAGCAAGAGAGTGCCAAGAGCGGTGGTATTTCACAGAAAAAGTGGTTGATGATATTGGAACCACAGTAATTCAGGCTGAAGGTGAGGGAAGTGTGTGCTATTAAACTCACAAGACCCGCCAGATAAGATCCGAGCATGAGGGTCAAGCAGACTCGCTTGGACATGAGGGTGCTATAGTGGAGGGGTCGGCAGATGGCCACAAAACGATCATAGGCCATGGCAGCCAAGACATAGCACTCGGCGTCCACAAAACCTACAAAGAAAGCAAACTGAGTGGCACAGCTGGAGAAGGAGATAACTTTGTGCTTTGTTAAGAAGTCAGCCAGCATCCTGGGAGCAATGGCTGAAGAGTAGCCCAGGTCGACAAAGGAGAGGTTGCAGAGGAAAAAATACATGGGTGTGTGCAGCTGAGTGTCTGTCATGATCAGGATGATCATGCCCACATTCCCCACCACATTGACCAGGTAGACAATGAGGAAGACTGCAAAGAAGATGATCTGCAGCTGAGGATCCTGAGTGATGCCCATAAAGATAAACTCAGTCACCAGGGAGTGGTTTTCTTTATCCATTGCTTCAATGGTATGTGTACCTGGATTTGGTTTATTGATGAGTGTAGTAAATTTCTTATCACAGGAGAAACTCAAAATAAAGATAAGCAATCACATTCCAGAGATATTGTTATGTATATATTAGTACAATAAATGAAGATTGTGTTTGTGGTGCTTCTTAAAAATCCTTCCAGTAATTAGACTTTATGACCAACAGGACCAATGACTTTGGCTATGGTGGTGGTTATGGGCCTTCTCGTCCTGTCCATTCTACAATAGGAGAAGATGGTATTTTCTTGGAAATGTCAAGTTCTGCCTTTTCAATGTCCTTGGTACTCTGAGGTCATTTATCACATGTATACTAAATGTTTGACCTGGCATAGGCAATTACTTGTCTTATTCATTAGCAAAGAAGTGAAGTGTTGAGTTTTCTTTGCTTCTATCTAAAACAAAACAAATGTACGTGTAGATGAGGGATAGGTGTTGATTCTCATTACAGGTGCATAAAGAGATGAAAATGAATTGCCCTAAGATCTAAAAATAAACATATCACACACACAGGCACACACACAGAAAATGAAATATTGGAATAGTGGTCAGAAATATAAAAAATGGCAGTGGAAAATAATATATTCTTTTAAAACATTTTGAAGTTCCTGAATATTTACTATATTTCATTCATACAACTATGTGAAGTAGATGCTATTATTGTATCCATATTATATCCAAAAAGAACAAGGCCTGATATTGAATAATCTTAACAAAGTCAATAGCCAGTAAGCAGCAAAACTGGATCTGACACTAAAAATCTTTTTCACATTGTTGCCTTATGTGTATATGTTATTTGGTGGCATTTGAAACTATTTTTATGTCTACCTTTCTGTCTCGTGTGCTGTCTGCTATACATGGAAACACACTTGGTCTTCTTGTGTCTCTTACTTTTAGAATCACTCAGCGTTGAGGTGTGGGGACATAATGAGAGTCCTTGAATAATATTGTTTCTGACTAATTAGTAAAGATTCAAGGACATATCATTCAGGTGAAATTGAGAAAGCATTGTCCAACTCAGTGATCCCACAGTGGCATGCATTTGTTAAGCCTTTTTCATTTTGAACGGATGAATATCTGCCCAGTTGCAGAATTAGGACAGTAGTGGGGGAAACCAAGCCAAAATAAACAAATGTAAGTAAATTAGAAATAAGTAGCTATATACTATATAAGCATGAAGGGAGAATACAGATTTCATCTGCTTTTATTGGTTTAATACTCAGGGAAAAAAAGAAAGCAGAGTTGTATAATATATCGTTAAGGGGTTATAGACATTTAAAGTAGGTTATCCTAAATCCTAGCATTTAAAAATAATGAAAGGTACACCTGGATTTTTCAATTTCCACACAATATAATTAATCACTGTAAAGAACAGGCTCTAATAATACCATGCATTATCCCAAGAGTTTATGTTTTATAAAGCTCTAACGTTTTTTCTGTACAAGTCATTTTTAATAATTTGTAAATGGATGCAATAATTCATACACTAGGTCAGTTAGGAAAATAACCTGAAAAGAGAAGCCTGCAAGAAGCTGCTTGAAAAACATATTTTTGGTGAAGAACTTGTACTTACACAATACAAAGAAAATTTAAAACTCAAGATTAAGAGAATAAACAATGTAATAAGAATGAGCAAAAAGGGAGGGATGAAGGAAGGAAAGTATCCTTATTTTCTTAGAATTATATCTTTGTAATATGTTCTCTTTATATTCATAAAAATAGTTTAAAAATTTAAACACTTACCAATGAATATATATGTTGCAAATAAGTTCATGAAACATGCTCAGATGTTCATATTCTTGAAATGTAAATGAAAGCTGTAATGAAATAAGGCTGCACATCTGTTAAAAAAGTTAAACTTGAAAAAGAATGACCATGCCAAGTGTTGACAAATAAGTGGAATCATTGAAATTTCTATTATTGGTATAAATATAAAATAGTACAAACACTTTGGAAATCACTTTCCTTACTGAATAAAAAATATACACATGAACTCTATGATCTAGTTATTTAAAAAAAGGAAAGAAACTAAATGGCTATATGTGGGTGACAAGATAAATAAATTGTGGTATGTTTATGAAATGAAACAATACTCAGCAATGAAAAGGAACAGACTATTGAACATGAAATATGATGCATAGTTTTCAAGTTAAGAAAATGAAAAAACACAGAGAAAATATTACAATTTGTGTAATTTCATTTACAAAAATTTTTAAAATGAAAGAAAATCAATAATGACAGAAAATAGATCAATGATCATGTTTTAGGATTGTGTGTGAGGGGGATCAGGAGGAGAGAGGTACCATGAGTAAAAAACAAAACAAAACAAAACAAAACAAAAAACAAAAAAACACTTATAGGGCTTATAGTTTGCAATCTTTTAAAATTTTATTGAAATTTTTGTTCATCATATAATGCTTAAATATTTTATAGGGCACAGTGCAATATTTCAACACACACACACACAACATAAACCTATCACACCAGTTAACTTGAATGTGCATTTCCTTATCTTTTCTTTTTGTTAAGAACCTTCCAGCTCCTCTTTCAATACCTCATATTGTTTTATAATTCATTATTGTGAACCATAACAATTTGCTGTCTTGATTTGTGTGATGGTTTCATGGGGATACACATATGTTAAAACATAAAATTTTTATACTATAAATATATTCATTTATTACATGTCAGTTTCATCTTAATATAATTGTCTTTAAAATATTTATTTGTTTATTTGAATGGAAAAGTGACAGAGAAGGAGTGAGAGAGAAAGAGGGAGAAAGAGAGAGACACATTCCATCTATGCCCTGTTTTACTTCTCATATACCCACAACTGCTGGGGCTGAGCCAGGCTTAAATCAGATAGAATGATAGGGACCCAGGAACTTGAGTCATCACCCACTGCCTTCCTAGGCTCAATACTAGGAAGGTTGGTTAGAGGTGCATGAGCTGGGTCTCAAGTCCGCACTTCAGTAGGTATGCATAGGATGCAGGCATTCAAAGTGGAAGCCTAACACACAGCACCAAAATGCCTTCCCCTGTATAGCTATTGTTTAAAGCACTGGAGAAACTGCCCCTGCTCCAGCTCAGGGCATTCTTACTACTTGTGAATGAGCACATCATATTATAGATTAGGTCGGTTGGGAAACAACAATTTAGACTGAGAAATTTTGGAAAGTCACAGTGAGTTAGTTGTTAAGGATTGCCAGTTGCCCACAGAATGATGTTTTCATGTTTTCCTCTCATGTGTCATGTAGAAACCTGAAAATAATGCACCAGGAAACAAATGCCACTTGTTAGTGGATTCTTGCTCTGTATCAACAGGGAAAATGATGCCAATGCTGAATATGGAAGGAACCATTTAGCTAATTTCATAATTCTATAGACAAATGAGTAGACTCAGTCATCAATCTCTAACATGCAGAGAGGATAGAAGATTGCAGTATTTAGAGGAGTATGAAATACCTTGTAATAACACAGCACCAAGAGTGAAACTGACTCACAGCTGGGCATGTCCCAATTCGTTCATTTTACTCAACTGTGAAATGGGATTAGGAACTCATTCTCTTACCCTTGTAAGATCCGATGTTCTGGTTAAATGAAATGCTTCTGAAAGCACACTGACAGTTCTGTTATAGTGGAAAGATAAATCCAGGCTTTATCATATACTGCTATGGATTTCCAGCACACTACTTTTCTTTTTTCAGCCATAGATTTTCATCTGTTGAATTAAGTTATTAATTCATACTATTGTTAAGTTGTAAATAGCTTTCTGTAAAGATGAGTAAGACTATACAGAGTTCTGAATTCGGTGACTGTCATATGCTAAGTGCTTAAAGGGTTTGGCCATTATGTTGAAATAAAGATATTTTAATTTAGTATGTTATTTGGCAGTCAGCTCCTGGAAAAAATGAGTACTGCTTACTTCATAGAGATGATGTATCAGGGAGTGCTTTTTTAGTTCTATAGCACTTTCACTAAATGATAAATAAACAGAAATATAACACTCAAAAGCAGGTTCGACTAAGACCAAAGAAAAGAGAATCTTCATACTTTTCAATCCCACATAGTCAAAGTTCAAGCTGTCTGATTCTTGAAGAAACTATAGAATATCAATTTAACGAACTACTCAATCATTACCAATAAACTCAAATGTCTCAAAAGAGATTGTAAAAATATTATTTTATGGAAGCAAATATGGGTGAAATATATTTTAGACTTCAAAGTATTACTTGATTTTGCAAGTTAATTTAAAAATACTGGAGATAGAGTCTGGGGATGATGTATGTAGTGTTACTCTCTTTTCCCACTAACTAATTGTCACATCTTAGATAATTCCTGCATTTGATGCAGCTTCCCTATCTGTATATTCTAGAATTCCTTCCAATTCCATAATTTTCTTCATTCACACATATGAAGAGATAACCAAAAGTCAAACCCATTGCCTACATCTCTTTTTAAAATTTTTAAATGGAGTGATTCTGGTGTCAAGTAGAGCCCACACCTAAAGAAGAACTGGACACTGCAACACTACACTCAGCTAGGTCACATCTCTCTCCTTCTGTCCCATGATGCAAATGTGATCTGAATTGTTTTCTACCTGTTGGTGAGAGGTTGAATATGTCTTCTTCTCTGATGAGAGCTTTATGAGCAAATATTCTGGGGAGAATCTAAAGGCATCCAATTGTTCTGTTAGTTTTCTCTGAGCTACGTGCTCATCTCACCTTTGCTCCTGTGTGCAGGAGGTATTTATGTCTCAGACTCACAAAAATTTTCCCAAAGGAAATATGATGAAATGCTTTCTGAATTCACAGGAGACTCAAAAATTTGATGAATTGTCATCCCCAAAGAATTTCATCTTCTTTTCCTTCAACCTTAATAATAAAAGAAAACACAGGGGATTTTTGAAGACACTTCTGTGATGGTTGAATGTGTCAGGAGCACTGTGTCCCCAAACATGACTACATGCTGTG